ATATGTATATCATTTCCACAGGAGGAAATGCATTAAGGAGTACCCTGGGCCATGAATAGGCTAGAGCATCTACTCCTAGTGGAGCATCCTGATTTGTTATGGAAAAGAAGAGAGGAGAGTAGGAGTTGGTCCTGGTGAAGAAAAGATCCACTGCTGCTCTCCTAACGGCCAACTTACGGACGCACCGACTGACGGACGGACCGACGGATGAATGGTTAATGTAAATTATTAAAGTGCTTCACTGACTGAATCTTTCTGAATTTGAATGTAGAAAATAATTTGAACTGATTAAGAAAATGCATCTGTTTCAAAGATGACATTTAATCAAGACGTTTTACTCAAATTCTAAAACTGATCGCAGTAAATACAGAAATGGGCTCCTAACAATAATCCCGCCCACCTCTGACCAAACTAGCATGACTTTTATAGGTTTGAGATAAGGTCAAAGCAGAGCTGCAGTCTGCAGGTTGCTGCTGCTCCTCCTGAGGGATTGCTGCTAGCTGTATATTATGATCCACTCTAGGTCAACAAGAAGCCTTAGAAGAATATGACAGGTTGCTTCAACCACTGCCTGAAACCATCTGGGACCAACGTTCCTCATGACTGTCTTCTGGTGGCTTTGGCTGATGTGTATTTTAAAATCTGAAGAACATCACTCAGTGTAAAGTTCTGACAGCCCATAAAATACATGTTGACATTTTCCAGAGTGGACTGAAGTGACTGACGCTGTCAGCATTACAACCAGTGCTGCTATAAAAAGTGCTGCCAAAGGGAATTTGAAGCCATTAGCTTGAAGAGCATCTAAGTTGACAGGAGTCTGCCTCTGAGTAACAGCTCTGTTAGAGAGTAAGGCAGGAAATGCCATGAAGCTTAGACTGCAGCTGACTTACACAGTCATCCTGAGGATCTTTGATTATTACAGATTAATTCAATCCTGTAAGAAAAACAAACAATAAAAGCATTGTTGGAAGAACAAGGCAGCAGGATCAAAATAACAAAAAAAAACGACTCTTCCTGTTTGATGTTTTCCACCCGGGTAAAGACGTGTGAGACTAAAAGATCAGACCCAACTCCTGTCCCAAAGCAACCGTTCACTTCCAATAAATCTGACTGATGAAAAACAATAAACACACAA